TGAAAATTTCACATTTTGATTTATCAGCTAAAATCTTTGAATCATTGGCATCAAAGAAGAAAATAACACGTCTTAACTTCATGCTTTTTGCAGTCGATCTATATGTATTGACTTATATTCCGGTATGGAGACGTAACAAATTGCGTTAGTATTGTTTGGTGGGTTTAACTGACATTGCTGTGGTGCGGGGTTAAGGGCCAAGGCTGAGGCCTGCCGATATTTGTACGTCCGTGAAGCACACTAAATCCTCTGCCATGGCCAGGGCACTGTTTTCCAGACATAGCGGAGACAACCTACCCAAGACACATCGAGACGTCTTCCTCTCGTCTATTGATCCCTTAATTGCAAGGTTGACGCTTACTTATCTGTTACCCCATAAAACGACACATCTTAATTGCGTTTACGCTGCGGGCTAACTCCTCCATCGATACGCCGATACCCCCTGCATACTTCATTAACGACTTTATAGATCCTGCTCCATTACCCAGGCTTTTACTGCTTGATAATGGAATAATCATTTTAATCTATCAGTACTTCGCATTATCACACAAGTACTTAAGATTGAATTCGCCGAGTCCAAGACTGCTTGATTTTACTAATTGTCAACAACGTAGGTTGAGACGCCATCTTTAATTGAAACAATCTTTAACCTGACTTGGACGAAGATCTTCAAATGTCATGTGCAACTCGATGTAAATAACCTTATTATTAAAATGGTAGAGTCAGTTTTGTTCAGTCGTGTGTCTAAAAGCTTCAGACCTATATGGAATATGTATATTCTCAGCATAGGGTAGAATGAGGCGTAACATTGTTTATACAGAATGTGCCTGCATCAAATATTCCATTGCTCTTCACATCCGTGTGTTTGACTATCACCTCTGCGGCCTTATGCGGGGGTAGACTGGCGGCACAGGGCAAGCTGGAGAGCGTGTGAAGAAGTGTGAAATGAAGTCCCATGGTTAACCCCACCCCTTTGAAGTGTAGAGAGAGACGGATTGGACGTCGCACCGAATGATAATACACAATACGGACATGGGCGTGCTAGACTGTGATTATAAAGCTGCATGGCTGAGATATAGAGATGTGAAGAAATGAGTTCTGTTGGTAGCTATCAATGGCAATAATCCCAAGTATATTACATGGAATAGGAATGCATTACTCGTCCCAAGCTCGTTCTTTGTCATGTAATGGACTGCATATATCTCCATTATAAGGATTTCTCCAGATGAAATGACAATAATGTCTGGCAGTCTGGCTGTAATTTGTCATATATCAGGAGGACAGTGCGTTCTAATTGCAATGGTGTTGGTTATTTGACTAATGATGTAGACGTCATTTTACACTTATCGGCGTCGATGTAGACTTCATTCTGCTTTCACACGCTATTTAACCGAACTGAACAGTTATAACCTTCCCAACTAGGCACCTGTCTGAAGTCAAGTGTGTGGAGTAAATACCTTCGGAACTTCACATTCATCATGTGCCTGGGAAATGATAGACCCACAGGTCCAGAACAAGCTATATTGACCGGCTTGCTTGATGGATGTCCACTTCTTGGTGGATGTCCTCTAACTTTCACTCCTTTGACAAGCCGGAAACTTTAGCAGATAAAGCAAAACTCTTCGTGTGATGAATTCTTTGATACAGGAGCTGTTTCATGTGTTCGTTTACCACCAAGAACCCGCATTGGGCATTTTCCATCATAACGAGTTCTTGTAGTATACAAAGTTCGATGAGTATTCCTCTTATCACAAGCCTACCATGGCATAGTTGGTGACAAATTTACCCTTTTTACCCTTCTGGTCACGCGGCAAATTACGGTTCTTGTTGGTCATCAATCAGACGTCGTTTTCGGTAATGAGTTTGAGCGGTCAAAGGCCAGACCACTTTGTCAATACAGTTCAGTCGTTCGGTGAGACCTTTGCTGCTTAGGTCGGAAAATCATACCGACTAATAGTACGCTGGTTAGTACAACATCAATATACATTTTTGTTCAGATGACGGGATTACGAAATTTCATTAGAGTCTGGCAAGGTAGTTTTAGTGGCAAAGATAAAAAGTATTGCATGTTTACCACATTGACCCAAAATGTCCTGCATTATTACCATATTGGTAAGAAATGTCTGACATTTTGTCCACGAATAACAGAAATTACAGTGTTTTTATAAACAACTTTTTAAAGAACGTGATGGATGTGTTATCTGTGGGCATCATGGCAGGGTAATCTGATGACTGTGTATTGGCAGTATTGGGTTTTCCGAGGTCACATCAAGGTTTCCATCCCGCCTCCTGAGGGCCCACACTGACAGATGAATGATCGGGGGGCTCAGCCCTGTAGAGGGCATTACGTCAATCAAAGTCACAGCAACAGTGCTGTACATCGCGATATGGGCCTACTTACAGAATAACGTTGTATTCAAGGTTATCTTTGCCATCAACAGTGGTTACGTTTGACCCAAACGATGTTGGTGGTCTAATGATCGTCGTGTAGGGTCTTCTCCCATTGCCGTTGCTCATCGATGCGTGAGAATTGCATTGGCGCTAAAGAGACTGAATGAGTTGTTTTGCATGTTGAAGGTGACGTTCTATGTGTGCATCACTAGCTAGATAGGGGGACCCTGTACACAATATTGTGATCGTCACATTTCTTGGTGCAGTGTGTAAATGGTTCATTAGTTGATGTTCCAGACAGACTTCCCACCAAAAGACTATCAGCTTTGTGAATCTGTAGCCCCGTGCCCCGGCGTCTGATAACCTTTCTCATCAGGAACTGCGCACGTCCGTTTGTGGACAGCCGTGACAGGCTGCCCCTGGGGATAATTGATGGCACTAACAGTCTGGTCATATCACAATTCATCTCCGTTAAAGATGACCCGGCAAGGTCGTCTGACAACAAAGTTAGATGTCACGGCTGATTGGTCGTCAAGGCTTTGTCTGCGGAAGGATAACTCAGAAGTCACTCAAATTCCGTCCATTATTTACAGTATTACCTTGCCTATCGCACGAACTGATACGAAATAAGCCCATAATCCTGTCCAAGAGCGGGGAGGCCAGGCAAAGGTACCTATGAGAGATTCTCCCCGCGGATCAACATGACGAAACAGGCGAGAGTTTTGGCACTTCACGACTCTCCGTAATGCTCAGAAACTGTGAAATCCATTTCGCCGGTTTTCAGACGGTGAAGCCCATCACACCTCTGTGTGGTGAAAAGCGGTGGATGAAATTGCTTCCCGTACTTGAACCGACTTAATGGGTTGGGGCGTAACGCTGCATTTTGTCTGTAAAATGAAACTTTTACGGACGGTTTCGTTCGAAGATATTTAGCTTCGAGGAAGCCTTTTAAAGGTATCAAGCGTCTTCAAAATCACATTACAGGTTAATACTTTGTAAGACACTCAGATATATATGAAAGTGTATAAAATTGTACTTATTCATTCCCTACTTTTCATGCTCGGTGTAGCCATTTCAATAGAGTGTACACCTCCCTTCTCCGACACAGCAAAATCATGGATTCAAATCTTTGGTCTTAGGAAAAGCCAAACCATATTACATTTGTCGCACTTGGTTTCGAGGAAAACCTGAGCACAAAATCGAAATTGAATCCTGTGCTTTCCTTCCAAAATTAACCCATTTACAGATGCAGTCGAAAATCCGGTGCACTGAATCCTGGATGAACGAAGATCTGCAGCTAATTTGCAGAGGATTTCTCCAAATCCTCTCAGTAGCAAGTTGTGATGAGAATTTCAATCCTGGTCCAGATACCATATCTACTATCCCTTGAAGCATCGGTGTCTCATTTATTTGTTCATTGGTTTACTTTTTAAAAATTTTTGTTAGAAAAATGGTTGCCTTTATCCGTACTGCTAGAAATTATGAAATGTATTACTTAAGCAGTAACATGTATAAATTGTAAGTTAGTTTGGTAAATTGTAGGTAATGTACCGAATGTAAAAAGCGTCCATCTCTAAAGCCCCAATGTTTTACACTGATAAGTTTTGTAACCTTCCAAATTAAACAGAGAAACTTTTCAAAGCCATTAGTATATATTTACCCCATTCATGTCCACGATAAAACGCACATATGGATTTCACACTTATGTTCACCGTCTAAGGTTACGACTACATTGTTTAAGTCCTGTATGTAAATTTAAGGATATGAACCAGAAACCCTGCATTAACCCAAAGTGGCCTCGGTTCCCCGCCCCAGGATTGACCCTAAGAACATGTGTATGTTAGATCTTCTCCCTATGTCTCCTCCCGTCCAAGGCTCTGTTCTAAATCATCATCATCTGTACGCAGAGATGCCCTTGGGCTCACCCGACATCCGAAGATCCATCTGGTAATATTTCATGATATCCGGGCCTGACAGCGCCTGATGTCTGGATAGATGACGTGGGGCTTGACCCTGGATGCCACTTTACTTAATGTTATTACTTTGATAAGACTTCTAATAGCTCCGGGCTGAATAATAACGAAACCCTCGCTGATTTAAACTAGTATCTACGAGGCAGTAGTTGTCCGTACTGTTCTGAAGATGTGGCCTGAGCGGGTGGCTGTAGCAGTTATATTACCGACCTGTTCTTGCCTTAAGTACCGCATACGTAGATGCGCAATTGAAAAATGCAGCATCTGTTTTCTGGTATTCCCTTTGGGATGTATGTTACGTGGATTCATTAGCTTTGAGAAAAGTGCTTTGAAGTCAGAGTAAAGAATACTCGGAGGGAAAACGTGCGTAGGAACGTACATGTGGGAAAACTCGCTTGAAAGCCAAATGGACTCTCAATTAAACTGTAATTGAAAAGTCTATGGGTGGAATTTCTTGGGGCTTGATAAAGGTATCACACAAATGATTTCAAAGCGGTGTTTGCCGTCGGAAGTGTACAGTGAGTCTTACATGTTGAAGGATGTGCAGGTTAATAGTTCGTACTGGTATCAGATACGAAATTATCTTGGTGTATGTTTTGTTATTCTATACAAACTAAGATTGCTTCGGTGTTGTAGGTTGCTGGGCGCAGTCTTCCATTGGGCTGAAGGTGCCAGGGTCAGTGGACGCCACTGCAGGACACTCCGCAGTCTTGCAAGCTGACTTCGACACAACAAAACGTATCGCCTCTGTAGTATGGACCAAAGTCGACTCAATGGACAAAATGAAAAGAACCCAGGTCTTTACCTACTGGCCTCATTTCGACTCCTCCACGGCTCATGGGGATTATAACGGACGCGCAAGGCTTGATGTCCAAGGTGAGGCGTCATTGGTCATTGATGACGTCACGGAAGAAGACGAGGGGACGTACATCATCACAGTATCGGCAGAGGGACTTCCTAGTGAAGAGGCGTTTGTTGATCTCAGGGTGTTGGGTACGTTATGACAAGACAGCCTCTACCGGGCTTCGGAAGCGACTGAAAGGAGAAGAAATTGGCAAAATAGACAACAAACATGTCAGGGACCTGCCAATTTCTTTCCAGCCGCTTCCGAAGCCTGGTAGAGGCTCATGACAACAATAGTAAAGAAGGTAGTGGTCAGTTACCCATAGTTCCGTAACATACTTCTAAATACTACAGAACTATATGCTTTTTAATAGGTATACTGTGCGAAATATGTATATGTTTAATGGGCGTGACGTTGTGTTGCCATGGCGAACTACAACAACTACACTTTATCTTCTTCATAGACTTGTTTCACGTTTATTAATCACAGACAAGAGGTAAAGCAGCAAAAAAATAGGTTGACCACTATAATGGTAGTTATAATATTTTTCAACAAAATGTCTCTTCCCTGTACAGTTTCCCCCTCCGTGTCGGTAGGACCGTCTGATCCTTACGTCACTTCCTGGGGCAGAGGTGTCACCCTGACATGCGCAGTGAGAAACGCGAAGCCCAACGTCACAAACATCTACTGGCAGAGAAATGGCGCCGTGATTGACAGCAGACAGTTCGACACCAAGTATTCTGGCGGGAATCTGCAACAGCCAGACTTGGTCATACGTCACGTGACTAGAGGTGACAAAGGCGTGTACAAATGTATCGCTGATCACGTGGTTCGGACCAGCAGCGACACTCTCAGCTTGGTTGTTCTGTGTAAGGTTGATCTTAATATTTTGACATACTCTATACTTATCCCTTATACCCAACGAGTCATCAATTCATGTTGCAAACAATTCAAACTTTTTTAGACATGCTCATTCTCCAAGATACTATCGTTTCTGTTGTCAAGATATAAATCATATATCTATTCAACATTATTTTCAGCTATTTTCATTACAATTCATATCTTTACATGGTATGCAATATTTCATGGAAACTTGGGTATTTTGTGAATGGGTTTTAATGTGTTTCCAACAGATCCGGCCACCATTGTGAGCATCTCTGACTCCCAGACCGTGAATACAGACGATAGGGTGAAGTTTCAGTGCGTTGCCGAGGGCAACCCGCCCCCAAACATCACGTGGACAGTGAATGGCATGCGCGTGCGCTCTACGACAAGTAAGATGACACGTGACGTGCGCACGGGCACAGTTGTTCTGGACAGAGTGCGGCCAAACGCAACAGGAACGTACGTGTGCACAGTCAGCAATAAAGTTGGGGAGAGCCATGTAAAGTCATTACAACTTAATGTCAAAGGTAACAACTTCTTTTGTAACATTAAACTCAGAATAACGCAAGATGCATGATGCACTTATTCGTAAATGGGAAGCTGAACTAAGAAAGAACATCAGCGAAGACAAAACAGGCAATGAAATGGCAAAATTGGGAATTGAGATAGAGAAACTCAATGTAAAGAAATTGCTCAGCATTTCTCCCCATTCACCACGATCAACTAACGCAGCCGGTGGGTAGTAACAAATGGAGGTAGGTTATGACTGAGTAAAACTTTTATGTACATTTACAGCGTCTTTACGAGGTGATGCGAGCAGCGCGGTAGCTATAGCTATCTGGGTGGGCGCCATTGCCGGAGGTCTGTGGTTCGTGATCTGTCTGGGACTGGTGGTGTACTTCATACAGCGGAGGAGAAACAAGGAAGACAAGAAACGGTTCTCCTTCTACTACAACATGGGGCGGAGGGAGCAGGGACGGCTGGAGGAGAGGTTTGGGGAGGAGACGTTAGAAGTCACCAGACATCCTCATCTCAAATTACCCTGTATGTTTCAACCCCTAGAAATACATCCTATCAGTGGGATAGTCATTTACTTGTTCAAAAGTAAGAAGATAACGGTATGTAACGGCCATGATATAGAACTGTCCTATTTTCAGTCTATAGAACTTATATTTGAAATGTGCGCAGTTTGATGCCATCACCGGTTGGGTTTTGACGTGTTGTATGCATCTTTAACAAAATGTCACGTTTTTACACTTCGAAGTTGCATTTACGTGTTATGGATATAGCTTGCCATTAAACGTATTGTTCCAACAGCCAAACCGATATCACAGACACCCGCAGGAGGCATCACAACCATCAGGCGAACCACAAACAAAGGGAAAAGTAGGTATTTCTTTAGTTTTAGAGTTCCCGTAGTTATCATCTAACAATAAGACGCTTGGATGTGACGCTTGGATGAAGCTATTTGATTTTCACTGGTTAAGAATAGGATTTGAATTGGTCTGGTGAACGTAAACCGGAACATATGGTTTGGCTATCCTTAATTTGGCCTATCAAATCCGTTTGGCATGGTTGAAAGAGCTATATTTCACAATCCAACTTTTTAAGTAGAGGTACGTGATGTCTGTTCTAAAGTAAGCTGTACAAAAGCTCGTATGCTGCAGTGACTGAATGTTTTACGTGCCAAACTTGTGGGAGACCTCATTGTACTTGCGTGCCGTTTCAGTCAGAAGATACGCCAGAGTTCTGCACCCATACCACCCTCAGGAGGGAAACGAACTTTACTTAGAGGCAGATGACGTCATCGAGGTGCTGGAGGGGGAAGATGGCGGCTGGTGCCTGGGTTACCTGAGGGGCAGGATAGGCCTGTTCCCCTCCAACTACGTCAAGTTCCTGTCCGCGTCACAAGGTCGAGGATTTATGACAAGAATTTTGCACATAATTATATTTGTGTTCATTGATCAATGGTCAATTTGGCGCCAATGACGATAGACTTTCATTATTTAAGTTTTTTGTTTCTGCTAATTTTGGTCCCTTTCTCCTGTTGCAGTATCAGCAGCAAAGCTGAGGGAACTTCCCGACGGCGCAAAAGGTCGATGGGCAGACGGAAGTAAAGGTTCTCCTTAGACTAGCGCCTGATCTGTAAAGGGGTTGAAAGTTAACTTTGCTCAAAAGACGCCAATCCTCAAGACTCTTAGGGAAAAATAGAGAACTCGATACTTCGAAACATACCCATTAAGGTCTGGTATCTACGAAGTAGATACTTCCTTCTTAAGTGTCAGATAGTTACAACGGACGAACGTATTGTACATTACAAACTGCCACATGTGTGCCGCTGTTGCTGAACTCTGGTATTGTCTGCAAGAGATGAAACTCTGCTAAAAGGTTATTAATAAGAACATTTTACTACAAACATTGATTTGACGAACTAGGTTGTATTATGCATTACTAGCGGATCAACATGCATGCGGTATTTTCTTTGTGATTGAAGTCTTAAACCACAAAGCAGCTGTGGTCTTAATCACCACTGCACTGTTTCTGATTTAGTTGTAACTATCAACTATCAATCTACAACCAATTATCTTGTAGAGATCCGTTGCTTCTATGGCCTTTAGATTATTGAAAGCATGGCTGCCACAGGTGCAGCTTTTAGATGTAGCAGCTGAGGAGCCGTAAAGACGGCACACTCCACACGAGCCCTGTGTACCAAAGCCGGCATCATCGTCTGCTGCCTGCGTAGGTAGGTTCAAAGTCATCAGTAACTATTCATGTCATCTGTATATATGTACTTCACTTTGCAAATGTCCCTGAAAGCTCAGCAGTTTCTTCAATCACGCATATAAACTTTCAAAAATGCTCTCTGGTCTCTCAAAAAATTCTAAAATATTTGATGGTTGTCTGTCAGGATGCCGTACAGTTTACCAGTCATCAGTAGGAAGAGTTTGATATCAAGAGCATCAGGTGACGACTATACGGAGCCGGAAGGAAGAAGTCAGGTTTGTCTACGATTTTTGTTCTTTGTTAGCTCTTAAGTCTCTTAAGTTTTACAACCATCCAGTGGAAGCTAACGCAACACATATATCATGCACAGACGCTAGAATAGTTAACACAATTGTAGAGCGATGGTTAAACTGATTTTGAAAACTCTAGTCAAGACGCTCTTCTTGATTTCTAATATAGGCAAGCTTATAAGATCATGTCTTTCAGCCAGTTTTGTGCTTGAGGGATCAAACAAGTAAATTTTACGAGTAGTCAAACAGGCTATATCGTAAACGTACATCAATGTTAAATGAAGTGCGGTGTAATAAAAGGATCCCATTCTTACATCTATAACTATTAGCTGATGTAAAGATAGGAGAAGACCTTTTTAGCCAAAGGATATCACCATTTTCCACAACAAATGATATCTAACGATTCTTTGGCCTAGGTGATCTTTAGCAGAAGTAATGCCGGAGGCCATAAATCATAAGATACCCTCTTCACATTCACATTTTTATGACACCGATGACAACTTCTTTTCAAACAACTACTCATAAATCTCATGACCAATTCGTTGTAAAAGAATGCGGCCTTTGATGCTAAATGGTCGTTTGATTTCCAGCGGCTTTGTTCTCTTGACAAAAATAGCTACTGTGCTTTTGACATCCAGCTAGACCTACAGAATGCAGACGTATGTTTCACACATGATTGAAACTCCTTTAGCTCCAGGCTATTGAAGGCGTGAAGTTCGTGGAGAATAAAGCATTGAATGGACTAACAGCGAAGCAGTGACCCCTGTCATCGCGGTGCCATTGGCGCAGATGAAGACAAATGTATTCAATGATTGGATCGTATGGGCCGTGCCCGTAGAAAAAACCTCCCTGTCAATATGGATTCTTCAAGAAATCAGACCTGGCAGACCAACTTACATCCTTTATAACTAGACCCCGATCCGAATAACACTTTTGATAACTTTCTGTACACGTACTTACATCTTATAGGGTAAAAAAGATGATATATCTACCTCTAGCTATTTATCACATTTTCTTTCAAAATAGCTTTTCAGTTTAAAACCGTGTTAACTACTTTTACACGTGATAAAGCATTGTCACTGAGATATCAAATTATTTCAATAGTTTTTTTAGACAGAAAGAACTTTATCATTCTCTTACTAGTAAAATAATGATATATCACCCATTTATCTTATTTTTACTATTACATTTAAGGAAAATCTAAAATTTTCTTACTAGTAAAATATTGAGATAGCACCCATCTCATTTTTTACTAAAAGGAAAATCTAAAATTATCTAAAATGAAAGGAAGTACGTTTACTGACCTGAAAATATTTTCAAACCTAAATGTGGTAGATAATCAAGTCTATGTATCTGCATCTTGGACCAGAAAGGCATGGTTGTAGGATGGTTGTCATGATGATGATGCTTGTGATGGCAAACAGGACTTTATTCTGATACGGCCCTGGCTGAAAAGCCCCTTTAACATTTCAAGTTTTATGCTTGAGGTAACATGAATAGACTTTTCATTTCCAACGAGAGCTCTTCACGGCGCTTTCATTTATAATTAATAGTCGCGCCACTGTCATTGTGATTGCTAACACGTCCGTAGGTTTTTTTGCTGACCCCACATCAGGTTTACACCACAGTACAATCAAACAAACTCTGCCCACACGTTCAAACTTCACTGCACTCTATCCATCACCCGCTGTGATTAATTAATTATGCGTTTAATAAATTATGTAGGGAGGATGACTGAAAATTTATCTGCCTGTCGTGACTTTGATGAGCTTTGGCGAATCCCTGCCGTCAGTCCCGATTCACAGAGTAATCTGCAGTCTGTCATGGAAAAGCGTCATCATTCTGTACAACGACAAAGGAGAGTGATCCAGGACTGCCTCCGTTTACATTTACTTGCCACAACACAGACGTGAAGAAAGGCTAAAAGCTCTGGAACACGGCTCAAGTTACGTTCCCAGTGGGAACAATAGACACATTGGGACCTCCATTAGCGCCAAAGTACCACGACAAATGACTTATTCCTGTGGAATTGGACCCTGGACTCGCTCTAGATTAATGTTTCTGACGTTGACACAGACAACTTCGCCCTCCATGCACATGAGGTGGTGCGATACAACACCACCACTCTTTAAGGAAGTCATTGAAAGTCTAGCGTAACAAAATATGTGTTTTTGCCTCTTCTTTCTCTCAATATCTAGTTTTATTCGTACATGTCCCCTTGGCAGGCATGCTGCATCGTTTCTTTACCCTCCATTTTATCTGTAACAAGTGGGTTTAAGACAGCTCCAGTGTTGACTGTGAGATAATGTTTTTCATATCCTTTGATAGACCCGACTAACAGCGCCTAGAGCTGTTTTAATAACGCAACAATAGACGATGATTTTACGGTAGTATCTCTGCCATCTTTCTAGACAGATTAAAACAATTTTTTTAAACAGTTTATAGACAACGTTTTAGGGCTATCCAAGCGTATACCATTTTCAGATTTAAGATTACCCGAATCCTCAGTACTCTTTACGAGAGAGGCTCATTATTAAAAGAGCTGTTGGACCGTTTCTGTAGTAATTTGTGCCTTTGTGGTGTTCCTGTCTACCGTTTTCTTCCTTTAATATCCAGACGGGGAGACTGAGATAGGAGTCTAGCCTTAAGCTCGTAATAAAGGAAGATGATGGAATACAGTTCGGCCATCATAAAGATACAAATCTTAAGAGGGCACTTAGACTCATTCGTTTGTAGTCTTGCTAAAGGTTGGGGGGTTGTTTGACAGATCACGTACTTCGGAGGGCAAAGTTAGTGGAAGTATGTCGTTCCTTTTATTATTCACTGCATCTCGCCTTATTTTGTGTGAAGGGCAGGACGCACGCCAGAATAGCTCTTCCGACTGAATGATGGATTTTGCGATGACTTTGATCTCACAGCTTCTGTCAGTTCGTCTCCTTGTTGCAAGTGCTCCTCGGCAGCATCGACCATCGAGGGAACGCCTCCTCCGCTGGAGGGAAATGAGGACATCCCGTCGCTCCTTTAACCAGGCGAAAAGGACACGCTGTTTCCCCGAGTTTCACGTTTTCCGTCATGAACTGGTGGCCTAGTAGTCTTTAAATCAGTCAATAACAGATTCCGTATCGGATCTACTTGAAGCGGGTCGCATTCTGATTGGCCTAGAGGCCTCGTTACGTAGCCAATCCCCGGCCGCCTGAGCTTAAACTGCCATTGCCATTCTCCGTGCGGAGACCAACCTGATATAAGTGCCCTCATCATGGGGCGTTTTGCACATCATTATCATCAATCTCCCAGTTGGTGGAGAGCCCTCCGGTTTGCATATTTTCAAAAGTTTTCGCCGGCTTTGATATCTGGGAGAAAAAGGTGCCACTTAACTGTCATCCCTTGATCTTTGCCGACATAAATGCCGGATAGCGAACGAAAGGAAGGCTTACCTTTTCCCCGAGTGTCCGCATTTGGGGGCTCGATACCGCAGTACTCGGCGTCAGTGTGTATCCAAGGCTTTTGTGCAAATGCCGTTTGTATTTGTACGAGGCATGTTTCAACTGGCCGCACTCGGAGGGTTTGCCTACAAACCGCAGGGTTAGGAGTTTAGGGAGCCTCAGGCTCAGCAGCCCGGGAGAGAGAGGCGGGTGGGTCTGGATGAAGGAGATAGTTTAGAAGAAGGCGCCCGTCAGAGGTCAAGTTGGTAAGATTAATTGGAACTGGCGAGGACGACGTCTGCTCGTTAATCAGGGAGACCGTCAGGCCGAGACATTTCTGTGAACACAGCCGTGATCAGAACGCTGACGAGGACTCGGGCCTCCTGGGTGTGTGCAGGGGCTGAACACAGTGCAGGGCACCGCCTACCGCCGAGTTAGCGCCGTCCCTGCCCTGCATGGATGTCTGCTCGCACGAGGAGAAACCTTCGCGGTGTGTGGCACGGCTTCTGACTTACGAGCACGCTGATGTTTCTTCGGCACATCCGGCGTTCAAGTAACGGCCTGCCCGAGGATTATTAGGCGCTACAGGACAACTTCCATACTGTCTACAGTGCCAACTGAATGCGTTGGAAAATAGCCAATTTCTTCCGAAGCTTGGTTTAGCAGATCTAACAGTACGGTGTGGAGAACTAAATATCGTGTGAAAGGTTTGCCCATGTCTAGTCTATTGCCGACCACACATTTTTAAACCTAGCGTGAACGTAGCTTATGTTGCCAGACTAACAAAAATACCTAGTTGTCATAGAGGAAGTCTACGAGGCAACTAGTATTTAGTTTACAGGCCGCCGACACAAGAACTTCCCTGCGTTTGACAGAGGAAATTGCCTGCGAGTCTTGCTCGTACTTTAACCTGAAACGTGCCAGTGACTTGTACCACAAGTCAGATAGTAGGCTGCTGCACATCAAACCTGCAGTTCAAAGAGACGGTGATAGCACCTGAAACTTCCCACTGCGAATCTGTCTCCTGCGCGGTGGTGGAAATTGCCCGTGAAGCATTCCTCCCCAGCCCTGGCAGGGTGTCCTGCGGAGCCGCCCCGCGTAAGTGGAATCCGGTGGGCTGTGACTGAGTTTGGGGCACGTGAGGGATGATAACCATCAGCACTGATGATCACTTCTCACACGAGGACCGGCCGCGTCTACACCGCCAAGGATATTTCACGCCGAAGGATTGAATTTCCATCCGAGTCGGTGTAGGAATGTATGCCGACCAGATCTGACCAATTGCCCGTCTCTTTTTGACCAATCGCAGCCGCCTCACCGAAAGCAGCCGAGCTATTAATTGTAAAATCCGGACAGTATTCGGGCATTACCCTGACCACCCTGCCGGCCGCGGCATCAGCGTGTGTTTGCAGCCGGCCAAAGATCCGCTCACCGTGAACTTGTCGTCTTCGCAGGCGACTTGGTTTGCTCCCAGGAGCCACCGTGTGACTACGTCAACTGGGTTTCCTGCCAACCCAAGTTCCACCCAATACGTGCTCTCACCGGCTCGGAGATCGTAACACTGCGCCTGTGGGAACTACCTTATTCTTCCCTGAAGAAGGCCTACAGCTCGCCTTCCGGGCTACTATTATGTAAAGCATATCGGTTTTCTATCTCGACGAGCGAGTACGAGTGCGTATATACGGTAAACAGTTCGTGCTCTGAGGTTCTGGAGAGAGGAACTCAGCCCTTGAGTGCTACATAAGGCGAAGAGGTTGACTTTTCTCATTTCTTCTCATTCCTTCATCGTCACTCGTCTTACAGGATGACTCCCCACCGACCTTACATGGTGGTGTTTCTCCGACTGGCTGTCTTCATCAACCAGTACGACTTCGGTAAGTGTCGGTGTCTTACATGTATGTCTGGATGACTACATTTCTTTATAGTGTTTCAAATGCCTTAACGGGATGACGGTGCCCCCGGGTGTCAATGCATATCCTCCGCTGATTCCGTCAGATCAGCGCAATACTCGGCAGTCTCTAAGGAAATAACTGTCTAACGGTATATGAGGGATGGTGGTATGCATCGGCAACGTGACAGGTGTAAAATATTAGCTGACACTTCTGTCATTGTTTTCTCTTCATCGTACAATATTTTACAACCTAGGGCCCTTTTCACTTCATCATTGTCTTATCGTATTGGATATTACCGCATGAAAAAGGTAAACAAACCACATCGTCTGAGAGGATATTTACAGATTGTTTGGCCATCAAGATAAGACACGGTGGAAGCGAAGCACTATAAAATGTGATTAACAATCAAAGACCGTGTAAAATAAATGATTCAGTGCTGATCAATGTTACATTGGGTTCTGTCACGCTCGGCACGTGTGAGTTTAATGCATGATCGACCTGCAATAATACATCGAATCATATCATGGCAAATGTTCATCCGTTCACGTCAGTCTCACTTAAGTGTGGCTGATATACCTGAGTGTAAAACACGCAATGATTGTGGGCAGAGTTAAATCCATCACTTACAGCACGTCAACTCTTCACATGATTCACTCAGGAGGAGTTAGGATAAAAGGTTGACACGGTGAAATGTTGTTGAAACCAGGATTGATATCTGCAGGCTTTGTAATCTTTTCATATGAAAGTTCTATGCCTCAAAAACCTTATGTGTGGCTATATGTGTGACTATATGAGTGATGAGTACTAAGAAGAGTTCTATAGCGATGCAAACCCCGTGCCCCTTCTTGCCACTTGTAATAGAAACATAAAACCAGGATAATTTTCGTGAAATATCGACCACCGAAAGTGGAGACCATAATATAGAACAAAAACCTTATTATAACTCTGCGATCAATCAACTACCGAGGTGAAAACCTGCGTTTCGTCTTTAGAGGTCTAACAGAGACATTTTGTGCTTGGAGAAGGGTCCCTTGATATACAAGAAAGATTTCACCACAGATGCATGTCTCCAGGGATGTAGAATATAGGTCCATCAGAAAATACGAATTTGAAAAGGTTCCATGGCTTATTGCTCTATTACATGTCCTGGGATTCATTTATCAACAGGCAGGTGATATTCGATTTTTACCCTCACGCCATTATGTCTCGAAGCACTTCATTTCTTTCCCTGGCATTCCTGAAGGATTGCCCGGATCGAATTTGTAAATAGACCGCCACGTCCGTGTCTCTAGAGATTCACATGTAATGAGGGCACATTATTGTATTACTCCTCTATTAGCCTGCATTTGCGTTCGCATATCTGCAGAGCACGTTTTGCCAGAGATAAGTTGTATTCAGGAGAGGTGAGAAGCTTTGAGACAAGCCCTGTCTTTTGAAAGCTTGGCGACTAAATTTTAAAGTGGACGAACCCCCTGGGAAGTAAATGATTGGGAGAGAAGTGAACATGACCTATGAGGCAGCTTTCCCATGGTTATCGACCTTGCACTTAACAGGAAACAGCGCGAGAAAGAGAATTAAGATCCCACCAAACCACGGTTTACTCTTAATTAAACGAAGCGCGGCCAGCCTGAGTGAAATTCTGCGGCTAAACGAAATGGCGATTAAGAACTTCTTTTCCTCTCTAGTGGTTTGAGACGTCCCATAAGGTCGAAGAAAAGCCACCTGCGTACCCACTCTTCTACACGGAGAATCAATTAGTTACTAATGCTCCAAGTCTAATAACTCTCTGCGTCTCAGTAGTCTTGTTTTAATTAGAATCTGCGGTCTGATTGCTTTTTTCGCAGAGCCACTTGTCACCAAAATTCATGAAGTTTACTGTGTAATTGCGGAAGAAGTATAAGTAATGCACTTGGCAACAGAAAGGTACATAGAATAATGATAGCAGTAGGCATTTTAAGACATACTGCAGAATATTTTACTCCTTAGAGAATAGGTGGAATGTATGTTGCATAAACGTTTGCCACAGAGTCTGGCAATTATGATTATTACAAAGTCTAATTCAGTACTCATTTACAGAGAATGCTGACATATTCAAACTGGTGGAAATTATCGAGAATCCTTAATTGGTTCACAAATCATAATCGCCAGGTCTGCGGGTATGAAATAGTTATTATGTTTACCGAAGGAAAACATATTGTTTCTTCCTCTTCCTCTTCTCCAAACAAATAAGGTCAATGACCTGAACCAGACGTCTGTCACGGTGGTAACTAGTGTTGGGTTACATCATGTTGCAATTTTATAGGATGCAATTTTATAGGAGGAGGGATTTAGACTCCTGTAACTATATTATATGATAAGAATGTGTTTGAGTAAGAATTAACAGAGCAGACTATATGCGAAGGTAAACATTGTGCATTATGCTTATTGCAAATGTTACATTTCTAGTTCTTAAATGTTTCATCGGGGCTTCGAAAACGTCTGACAACATGTGCATTCCAAACATGAATTGTTCTGTACTAACAGAGAGAAGAAGAATAGTTCTATTAGGTTTTGATGGTTGTGAAACAGGAGCCGCCTGCGGTGAGAAGATCAAAAGGTGATATGAACATGACTTAAATGATGACCTTGGAAGGAAATAGCGCGAGCAAACGAATTAAAACCATTCTTTATGTTCTCCACTGGCTGGGTGTAGTTAGGTCTGTCTAGCAGCTGGACAAAATATTGTAGGGCGAAACATAAAACAGAGAAAGAGAAAATTTTGTTTCCTTTTGGACTTCAAAAAATTGTCTTCGCTAAGTTGCATATCAATCAATAGTTTGTGCTTATAAATCTGCAATTCTCATGCAGTCTCTTAGTGTCACTGACGAAAGGTACTGTATGCTACCTGAAACATCTGACCGTTTCCAAAATCATATCCAGTTGCTTGAGTAACTGTTTTGGGCGTAACGTTTGGCTAGATTTCCACAGAACTCGGTCATTTATCGAGCAAGACAGGTCGGTCAGGCCAAGGGATGACAAACTATGGAATTCACACACTAGAAGACGAATATATACAGGTTTGAAAGCGTGCTTTCCGCAGGCATTGAGTAGCAAGACCTACATACCCACTTGACTTATCGCTGGGAAAAGTACACGGTTCTACTCTAGAGAACCTGACGTTTCAGCTGCACGCATGAGAGCAATTATTGCCCTGGCGTCGGCTCAAGATGTGTGGGCTTCTTTTTGTAGAAGTGAAGACCGTTCCTCCCATTTGTGAGATGAATGTAAATGTGGCTTAGATGCCCATGTATCTATATTTGATGTCCTTAAAACGAAAGATTTGCTGCCTTCCATGTTTAAAATGCTTGTTTTGTTAGAATAATTAAATGTTTCGTTTTGGGATAAAAGGGTCAAACTCCGTAAACAAATATTTAAGTATTTAGATACACATATGTAGGTATTAAGAAATGGTGAATGAATTGAGTGAACTTATAGATGTAGAAGTGTATCCCTGAATAGATTCATCAGGTTGGTAAGTCATTGAATAAAGACACTCTTTTCAAATTCAAGAGTTTTATTCAGCCGACGTTTCGGCGACCGTCTATCAACTACCTCAGGGCAATTGTAACTGCTTCACATTGGCCATTGAGTCTCTTTATTCAGTGTAGAGGTATAGTTTGTAGAAGTCTAGACGTATTATTTTTCTTATGTACACTTTTGAGTAGATATCATTCTACGCTTCTGTACAGAAGTGTCCCCTAAAGTTACTTTCACTGATGACAAATGACATGTACGCATTTGGAGGCACATGAAAGTATGGGGTCTCCTGTAATGGCCGACCTAGGAGCTGCACCCGCGTCAGTGATACGGCCGTTACTAATGCACAGGGGCAGGCAAGGCGCTTTACACCTTGCAACCTGATACTTTAGGATCATTTTTATCAATAAAGGTCAGACGAAAATACGTCTATGGGGGATATACAGACTTTCGTCCTGCTTTTAGAGTTATCTGCCAGGCAACTTAAGTGATATTTTATGTCGCAGGTGGTCACCGTCTATGAGTAGAAAAATGGAGTTAAGCTTTTCTGCCTTAATCATATCCACTTTGTGTGTGGAATGAAGTGCTGCAATTACGGTTTACGAGTTCCAGGTACAAAACGCAAAAAGAAGTGACACAAATTGCAGGAAGGTCGGGTACCATAATCACAAACTGGGTTGCTGGACGGGTGGTACATGCTCTGCACGTCGCCAGAAACAAATTGAAGCGGTCCCTGTAGGCAGCAAAGGGAATCGCAGTAACGGCGTAAATGTGGGCAAAATTACCCAGTGGAGTGTGAGTTTGGGTGTGTGCGCAACGTCACTCATAAGACAAAATGGAGTTACAGGGAAGTGGGGGGAAAGAGACAGGGATGTTTCGTAAATTTCTTGTTAAGCATTAAGGTATGTAGAGAATGTGCTGACTGCGAAAAAAACTTTCCTGAAGAGAAATATCTTTCATACTCAATCTTAGCCAGTACCAGTTCTATATCGATGGTTCACTGTTGTCATCCCGAGTGGGAGGAACCACCTTTCCTTTAGTGATGAGTTTCTAAATATCGACAAGTCCCGGGAAGGGAAGGATAAGAAAGGCCGTCGAGACGGCGGAGGTTGTTCTACCGGAAAGCTGAGTAATTTCCCCGGCTCAGCTGGAGCTCACAAGGAAGTTATAAATAGAGAATTCGGGCCAAGAAGGCTTGGACCTGTCATCTGCCTGTATGTTGTGCACGTCGGTAGGGAAAGGGTGGATTTGTAGCGCGCCCCGCTGGTGATCACATGTATTACCGGTCTTAAGTCGGGGACGGGGAATCTATTCTCAGGTGGATGGCTACCAGGATGAAGTACTGCCCATGTCGGTGTTCTCTCACCTCACAGGAACCTCTACCATAATTCTGGTACGACTCCTGAGTTTTAAATGAAACATGCCGTCTTATGCATACAAATATAAGAAAATGTTTTGAAACGCCG